TGGTAGTACCTCATCAGCGCTGTTTGGACTGTGAAGAGCTTGGGATTAGGGGAGTTTGACAGTTTAGTATTTCGGGTTTAGGTCTTGAGGTTTACGGCTCCGTTCTGTTGGCAGACAGCCTTCATGACTCGAAATGCGTGGCTGCTAGAGGTTCGGGAAGAAGGATCTGGCAACAAAAACCTGGAGAGGACCCTTAGGGCCCAGGATGTGGTAGCGAGCTTCAAGCGAGATCCGGTTGAACTCAGATGGCCTCTGGCCTTGAACCTAAAAACCTAAACCCTAAAATAATAAACCCAAAGCCCTAAACCTTAAATGGCAAGACAAGCCCGAAACCAAGACCGGTTTCGCCCTCCAGAGCCGCGAACAAAAGTCCCAAAAAAAACCAAATCGTTTAGGGGTTTAGGGTCTAGGGGTTCAGGGTTTAAGGGGTTTAGGGTTTCGGGGCTCAAGGGTTTAAGGGGTTTAGGGTTTAGGATTGCCGCAGAGCACTAAGCCCTAAAACCCAACAGTCCGGATCCTGTAGCTGCGAAGGCCGCAAATCCGATGGCGCCGAGGAGCGTGGCAACTCCAACCCCATCTGTCTCGCCACGGCATCTGCAAGTCGGCCCTTCAGTGCCTGCTGCCCACGGGACAATGCCAAAAACTGTCCTAAACCCTAAACCTTTTGGGAGCCTTCATCAGCTCCTTGTGCCGGCTCTGGGCATTCTCGCAGATGAGGAGCATCTGGCCTTCTTGCACGGAGCTGGGGAGGCCGGTGAGCTGCGTCAAAACCAGGAGCAGCGTCGGCATTGCGACTCCTTCCTTAAGGACGAAATGAACCCTAAAAGGGTTTAAGGTTCATATACCATATAGGGATTCATAGTATAAGGGTATAGGGCCCCTACATTTAAGGTCCTTAAGGTTCTGTCTCGGTCAAGGCGCTCGCGGAGCTGGGTCTCCATCTTTCTCCTAGGGTTTAGGGTTTAGGGGCTGATCTGCTGCTCCAGCTCGGTCGACCCTCCCCATCGACTCCGCAATCCCCTTAAAGCCCAAGGCCCCTAACGCAAATCCAACAGAAGCATTCGAAGCTCCCTAGCACCCTAAGCCCTCTTCCCTAAACCCCTAAACCCCTGAATCCTAGCCCTACAAGCCCTACAAGCGAAGTCCCAAAACCCTGACCCAAAACCCTGACCCAGCGCTGCACGAGGCGATAAGCAGGGCCGCGCCCACGAGGCCGTTCGGCCGGCGACCTGGCTTTAATTCGACTTTGAGCTTCAGCATTGTGGGTTTAAGGTTTCAGAGTTCAGGGTTTGGGGGTTTAGGGTTTTAGAGTTTTAGGGTTTAGGGTCTAAGGTTTAAGGGCGCTAACAAGGAACTATGCTAAGAGAGGTCCAGGATGGATTTAGGATGGGCCCAGGTTGTTCTGCCTGGCTTTGTAAACTGGTTGCGCCTTGAAGGCCCAACGATGATGATCCCAGAACCTACACCTGCCAAGGCCAAACCCTAAAACCCTACACCCTGTGCTTTAAGATGGCGTTCGTTGACGAAGCTTACCGATGAGCAACATGACTTGTAGTGAAGGGCCCCGCCAAACGCTGCATAAAGGTGCTGCAAAGCGACTTAACCTGTCGGTTTTAGGACCAAAAGCTCTCTGGATATATTACCCAGCAGCACGTGACGGTCCTCGGTGTGAAATTGAAAACGATGCCGGCAGCACCGATGCAAATCCAATCGCGATGCCTATGATTCTGTTCTAGTTTTAGGGGTAGAGGGCTTGAGCTCACTAAACGGGCGGATGTTCTTCAGCATTACTTCGGCTTCGGGGCTCCTTCCCAGGGCTGGATTGGCAGTCGGAGGGAAGGGAAACACTATTTCCAGCTGGTCGGGAATGGTTGGATGCGAAGGCCAGCCGGACTTGCTATCCTTAGCATTAGCTTCAGGAGAATCAAAAACAGTCTACACCCCTAGACTGATGTCGTGCCTGCACCCACGATACTTTAACATGTTTCCCAGCAACCTTTGAAGCTTGATGATCGGGAGTCAAGTCTTCACGGTTCACGGCCGGGCTTGCTGGATCTCAAGCTTTTCGCGCTACGGCAGTGACCTGAAGTTTCTCAACAAAGGCAGACGATCGGAGAGCTCCTGTCGGCACAGGCTGGAAAAAATTGAACTTTGGAGCCATGGTGGCCCGGGCCCTCTCTCCCATACTTGTTCTGTAACTCTGTGAAACGAACGAAACACAAGCAATGAGACAGGGCTTTTGGGCTGCATAGGCGAGCTGCATGTACTGGATCAGCCGCATGGCCGTGTTCTGCACCTGACAGCAGAATAAGATGAGTCTGAGCTTTGGGGCCACAGAGAAGCTTTAGATTGCACCATTAGGAGGGTTAAGCACTGGGTAGGCTTCTGGCACTCATGATTGTGATGTAGGCAGGGCTATGCCAGTATGATGTTGCCCTGGTTTTTGTTTTGCCATGTTTTGCAACGGCTGGACGTTGGATTTGGGGCATTGTGTTTTTCCCTCAGAGCTACTCCGATCCCAAAACGCTAAACTCCGCACCTCTGATCTAGGTATGCCCTATGGAAGACAGAAAGCCCACACCGGGACCTAAATCCCTAAACCCTAAACCCTCGAAGCGGTAGATTCCATATGACCTCGACATGCCGAAGAGAAGAGGCGCACAGAGTAACAGGACTTGGAGTATTTCGGGATTTTAGCTAGGCCGTCAGGGCTAGTCTCTTAGGGCTTTGGAGTTTAACTTTTTCCCGCTGCAACGCGGCTTTGCCAAAGATACCTTGTGCTAAAACTATAGTTGCATGGCCTGTGACAGCACAATCCCCAACCCGAGTCCCGGCCTCAATGGAACTTTTGCTGACGGCTTCAACCAAAGAGAAACTATAGTCAAGCCCAGCCCTAAACCCTAAGCCCTAAAGCCCTAAACCTCTAAACCCCTAAAGCCCTAAACCCCTAAGCCGGAACCAACCCAGACTATAAGAAGCCCAGAAGCCCGGGATCTACGTCATGGGTTCCTGAGACACTTACTAAATGGCCTCCCAAACCCTTCAACTCTTTTGGGGGGTTTAGGGCTTAGGGTTTAGGATTGAACTCTGAACCTGAAACGATGGTAATAATTACCCCCCAACCTGTGCCCCATGCCTGAGACTTTAAACCCTGCAGCCCCGAAACCCTCAAACCCCAAACCCTGTCCCCTCATAGTTCTTTTGTTCTTTTCTACACCCCCTTGGGATCCCTTCCAGGAGCCGCCAAAACCCCCAAACCCCAAACCCTAAACCCTAAACCCCTCCCTGAAAGCATAAGCTGCCTTGCGCTGTTGCCCGCCCAGCTCCAGGCGGCGAGCGAAACCTCGGTGTATGAATTCTGCAAGGCTTCTTTAGCGTTTAGGGTTTAGGGTCTTCATCAGATTTTGTCGGACTTCTACATCTTTGTAGGGTTTAGGGGTTCAGAGTTTAGGGCTTTGAGGCTTAGCTGTAAGAGTTAGGGCTTTGGTGCTTCTTCAAGTTTCGGGGGCTTTGGTTCTGTAAAGCCGAGGAGTCCTACCGGGACTGACAGGTGTGTCAGAGCGTCTGCGCTTGAAGAGCCTCGGAGGAACTCGGTGCGCAATCGCCCTAAACATCCCTTAGACCCTAAACCCTGAACCCTATGAGGCCCTAAACCCTGAACCCTATAAGGCCCTAATCAAGCCCTTAACTAAACCCTAAACCCTAATCAAGCCCTAAACTAAACCCTAAACCCTAAGTAAGCCCTAAAACTTAAGTCTAAACCTCTAAGCCCTAAACGGCTGAGCGCCCGGCGCTCGATAAAGATGGACGGGTCAACTAAGGGCACTTCCAATCCCTGCGCGCAGGCGGCTGTTCTGCTCCTTTAAGGGACTGGGGTTTAGGGATACCATCGGGGTACTATAAGGGTCCTTTTAAAGGGATCCTTTTAAGGGTAATATCAGTTTAAGGGATCTATTGGGGGTGGTATAAGGGTCCCGTTAAGGGACCTATAGGGGTGCTATAAGAGTCCTTTACAGGGATCCTTTTCGGCGGGTACTATAAGAGTCCTTTTGAGGGATACTATAGGGGTACAATAAGGGCCCCTTTGAGGGTTACTATAGGGTTCCTTTCAGGGTTGCTCTGAGGGATCTATAGCGCTACTATAAGGGTTTAATGTTTAGGAGACTTTGAGGATCATGAAACTTAGTAAATGCGTATCGTTCCCTTAATGATAACCTTAGTTACTAAGTGATTCTCTAAGTAGTCGGAACAACTGCAAGTATGGCATTTGGGCCTCTGAGTGCGACATCGTGAGTACGGCTTCGAGGCTGGCTCTAGAAGTCCCTGCAGCGTGTGAATGTTGAATATGGGATCCCTGTCTTAGGTCTTTCTATATTCATGCGACCGCGGCTCCCTATGACAAAGAAACACACAGGGGGATTGACGTAGACCCTCAACTAGGTAGCTTCTAGGCCTTGCGAAATCTGCTTTAGCTACCTGTTTATCCAAGCATGCCGGACTTGAAGCCCAAGTTCGTGGTAGTGGTGTACGATGCCGCTAGCTACGACCAGCATATCATCGAGAAGAAAGCGAGCCCAGAAATAGTCGGCCAAAGCTTCTCTAGAGCTTGTGACTGAGTTCTTGTAACCCGTGCCCGTAGTCAAGAGGAGAAGTTGCAAAGGCCCAAAACTTTAAATCCTACACTCACACTTCTAAATGCTAAGCCGTAACATCCGACTCTAAGATACCTGACGCCTAGTCTCCGAAAGCTCATGGTCCAAGGTCCAAGGTAGGTTGGTCTGAGATCCTATCATAGAGGTTTAGAGTGTATGGCCGATCCGAACTGCAGTGACTAGTCAGGGTCTGAGAACTTTAGCGGTTGGTTTTGAGATTTGAGTGCAGCTCTGAGCTAGAACCCGAAACAGGCCAGGCCGTGGGTGTGGGATCGATTCCATGAGCCCGAAACCCCTCAAACACGCCTGAGCAATAGGCCTCAAACCCTCAACCCTAAACTTCGAGCCCGTGGGCTCTGCAACCTTAGACCCTGTACAAACCCCTAAATCCTGCAACCCCAAATCCCTAATCACTGGACCCTCAAGCCAAAACCCCCCTCAAGCCTAAACCCCACCGAATCCTCCTAATAAAAGCCTTCGAATCAGAAGTGTCTCAGTTCCTTGCGCTGCTCCCGGCTTGCATGTGGTTTGTGAAGTCCCCTCCCACCTTCAACGCAGCATTTAGCGTTTCGGGTTTATGAGGGCTTTTAGGTTCTATATACCCTAAACCCTAAACCCCTAAACCCTAAACCCCTAAACCCTGAACCCTAAAGCCCTATTTGGTTCAGTGCGCGCATAGTGCTTATGATTGCCTTTGAGAGCACCAAGCCTAGGAGCCCTAAACCCCAAGCCCTGAGAGCCTAAGCCCAAAGGAAATCCTATACTTAGGCCCTAGCCATAATAGGCTCCATAGTAGTTCCTCTTTGTGATTCATATTTGGGGTCCTATAAGGTAATGCCAAAAAGGAACTACTGCTGTTGATGATATAATGCATGACCTTAAGGACCCGAAACTATGGGAATTATGGTATATTCCTCATTATGGGTAATGCAGGATTTAGATCATCAGCCGTATGGAGCCTATGGGTAATTAAAGCCGCGAATTTACCCCAAATTCAAAGGTCGGAAGTCTGACAACGCAGGCACCAGGAGTTCGTGGGTAGGTCATGGATTCCAAGCAACGGGGGTTGTGGCAGCTATTCTGAAGCAAACTAAAGCCACGGATACAGGCAAGGCTTGGGCTGCATAGGCCGGAGCAGGATACTCCTACCACCGAACATAGCCCAGTTGCCCAGGTCCCGATGCTGAAGCCTGCAGACCGGGTTAAGATCAGGATTTTGAGTGCAAGGTTCAGCACAGGATGGGTCGTGGATAGGCAGGGGAAGCCACACTTCTGCTGAAATGAAAACCCCGACACCGGAAAATCTAGCCGCTAGACTCTAGACTCCATGGACTCCGCAAACTTTACCTTCCCAGAGACTACAAAACCCCTTAATTAAGGAATATACCTTAAATCTTTATAAGGGTTCCACTTATTATTTAAGGTATATTCCTTAATTAAGGGGTTTTGGAGTCTCTGGGTTCCTAAACCCAAAGCCCTAAACCCCTCACTTCCGGACCTACCCCAAGCTCCAAATCTTTTGACGCGCACCCCTTTCACGCCAAGCAGTCGGCCAGACGTCGCATGAGCTTCATGTAGACGCGCCCAATAGTCTGCACGGCTCAGGGAGGGTTTTTGTGGGGGGTTGCGAGATCGGGGTTGAGGGTTTGGGGTTTCGGGCTTAGGGCGTATATAGGGCTTAGAGTTTATAGAAAGTTTTCAGGGTCTGAGTCGATTCTGGCATCAGGTTTGGGATTGCAAGGCTTCCATGAGATTAAGAGGAGCTAGCGTCGGAAGAAGTAGCACAGATATCCCTTACAGTCCCTATTGTTAGACTTCGAATTCTACTACAATAACGTACCCCCTCTTCCAATCATTACGAGCCCTAGATTACAAAGCTTCAGGGCACGAGCAAGGTTCAGGGCTTGAGGGCTGCAGGAGTTATGGGTTCTTAGTACAGGGATTTAACTTAAGTTCCCTAATAAAGAAACCTATTATTTATCATAGATCCCCATTATGGTAACTCGAATTAAATCCCTGGTTTGGGTCTCGGGCCCATGTTTAGGGCTCAGAGTAGAATTAGATGGCAGCTCTCCTAGAATGTGCGTAACAAACTTTCAGGTACTAGCCTACATCACTACCATGCCACAATGGCCAAACCCACGTATCTCACGATGGGTTTCTTGGGGAACATGAGGATATACGGTTTCAGGATTTCGGGCTCAGGTTGTGGCGGTTATCTCAGCAGGGCTGAGGATTTATTGCTTTAACACTCTGAAGCCCCGAGGACCAGTTTGCAAAAGCCAAATCCTAAATTCGCCACGCCACACAAGAAGTACCTTAAAAAACAAATCCTCCAAAAAGCCGCATAAGACCCTTGTTCCCTTTTTTACCCTGCCGAAGTTCACCTTGACTGGGGCTTGCAAGACGTCGGAGAAGTCAATGAGGAGGTGCGGAGAACGGTTCCGCCTTGCCGGCCCAGAAACGCATGCATGGGGGCTTAAGGGGCTTTGAGTGTAGAGTTTCGGGGTTCGGGGCTACCGGCTTGCCTTCAATGGGGGGTGTATATAGGATTTAGGAATGGGATTTGAGCCTTCATCGTTTTACAGGCTCAGGGGCTAAGGCTTCCTGGCTTGTAGTTTTCGGGCTTACAGGGTGTGGTTTAGGGTCAGAGACCGAGGATCCGGTCGGCAAAACATGCGTGTGTGTGTATATATATACTCACACCTTTATATATATATATATTGTCATATATATATATGTATGTATATGTATGTGCATATATATATATATACATATCTCCCAAGCGGTTTCTTGGATGACTGAGTTCAGACAACCTGCGAAAGGTCCATGCCATATATACTACCATTATGGAGCTGGGCCCCAAAAGGCCATCCCTATTACGGTCTTGGTGACATAAGAGTGGTATCTATGGTGGCGTCTGGCGTTCCCAGCCCGCCCCCCGCTAGGGGTGGGGGGACTGGCGTGTGCGGAGATGGGTCGGGGCGGCTGGGTTGCGACAGAGAGGGCCGGGATCTTACGCAAGCTCTTCGCAAGCCGTAAACCCTATAACATAGGGCGGCCTGTTCCTGTTTGTATAAACCTTAACCTGTACTTTAAACCTTACACCCAACGCTAAACCCCGCCCAATTGCAGGCTCTAAGCTTGAAGCAAAACATAAACCGTCACCCTAACCAACCTACACCCCAAACCCTCCCTAAGCACATGTCGACTCGAAGCCTTGTAACTTTTATTCTGAAGCCCCAAACTCCAAAACCCCACAACCACACGACAGGGGGAAGAGGGACCCCACACCCCACCCACAGGGGGGGGGGGGCATCCTGGACCATGGACCATGGGGGAGGGCGGGGAGCGCCTGACCATATATATATATATATATCCATATATAAATAAATATATATTATATATATATCCATATATATAGATAGATAGATAGATAGATAGATAGATAGATAGATAGAGGTATAGAGGTATAGGGACCCTCTGGGTGAGTGATAGAGCTTCATGAATCTGACTTCGGACCTCCGTCGCCAAGCCTTAAACACAGACAAAGCGGTGTTCCGGGTGCAGGCTTCCCAAAAAAAGGGCTGAACAAAAACGGGCTTTCGCCTTCCTACTGAATTAAGTAAAGTATGGGATCTCCAAAACCTATAGGCCCTACCCATAGGCCCCTAAGTAGTTCCTTTTTGGGATTACCTTATAGGATTCTAAATATTAAACCACAAAAAGGAACTACTTAGGGGCCTATGGGTAAATTCAAGCCCAGCACCCACAAGGCCCGGCTGCTCTACACCTCTGAATCCCGCACCGCTGCATCCCAGACTTCGCACCTGCACACTACATAGAGGCAGGCAGCGCAAGTGAAGCGCTGCTGCGTGCCCGCCTGCCATGAAGACGTGAATGCAGTAGTGCAGGACTCTGATGCGTGTGATTCTGTCCAGAGCACCAACCTGGGGACCAACCTACTACTTGTGCTGAAAGCCACTGGATGCCTGTATGCCCGACACGCCAAAACGGGAGAGCAAAACATCGCAGCATGTGCCTCGATCTCAACTACAGCGGCTAAACAACTCTGCAATCAACCATGGTTAACCCCAAGCCCTAAGCTCCTATGGAAAAGGGAACGTATTGAGGAATGTGGAGGATTCTGGAGCCAAGCGAAACAACCTGAAGCATGCACAACAAGTTGCCGGACCCACCGATGCTCACACGGTATGAGCTTGAAGCCCGAAACAGAGGCATGCCGTAAATCTAACCCTTGAAATCCTAAGCCCGAACCCTAAAACATCTCTGAGGTGGGCACGTTGAAGTTCAGGGAGCACGCGAGGGTGTACATCCGACGCCCAGCTTCCTTCTCGCTTCTCTCGAGTTGGGTTTGTTTTTTCGGGTTTCGGATACCAGGCCGATGGCAAGCCGAAGGTTTTGGGCTTTTGACTGGGAGGCTCGATTTGGCTTTGTAGGGTGGCTTTTCGACTTATATAGGCATAGATGCAAATGCCCTTGGCGGCTGTCAGTTCCTGCGCTGAAAATGACTATTGAAGTTTTCCTAATATTTCAGGAACTTTTCCCGTCCCTGGCATGGCAAGTGCAGAGACTTTTCGACATATTCGAAGGCATAGAAGGGACTCGTGAATCAAATTGGCGGCCCGCTCTCTCTCTCTCTCTCTCTTTCTCTCTCTCTCCCTCCCTCTCTCTCCCTCCCTCTCTCGTTCTCTCAGCGAAGGGATGGGAAATCATCAAAGGTTAATGACACGTCAAAGTGCCAAACCTGCAAGAAGGGAATCCTCAAGCCCTAAAACTCCAAAAAATTGCCCAGACCACTAAATTATGTTAAACTCAATGAATGAATTGATGACCGGAACGGGCATCGAGTAGCTTTACCGCTGGAAAGATCCGAAAACTCAGGTTGTTGTACATTCCCAAATTTGAAAACCTACAACTAAGCCCCAAACCCTACAGTTTAGGGTTCAGGGTTTAGTTGTAGGCTTATAGGGCTTAGGGTCTAAATTAACCCTAAACTCGTGGAAACCGCTGCCAGCCCGTCAGGCCAACAATCGGAAAAAAGCCCGGAATGCCTGGATTGGTGCAGGAAGCTGCAGTCGATCTGCGATGTATCCCATCCTTCCGAGGTGGAGCTCTTCGGCTTTAGGTGCTTCGGGCTTAGGGTTTGGGGTTTAGGCCACTTTAGGTTTAGGTCCTAAGTGTAGGTGTTGGGTTTTAGACGGTTTTTTGCTCTAAGGCTTGAGGGTTTAGGGGTGGCGGGAATGCATGTGGTTGTGGATCTTCTGCATGGATTTCGGACTCTATGCTCCTGCCTAACTCTAAGATTCCAACTCCAAGTAAACACATAAAACCTACACTGCGGTCCAGGGTCTGCAAATGAAGGGTCGTCCTCAAACAGAGTCAGAAGGATGCCTGAGCTTCCTGCTTGCATCCTGAGAGCGGGTGAGTTTGCTTTACCTTGAGAGGTATGCTAGCCCCGAAACCTCAAAATCCTAAAGCCTTAAACCCTAAACCCTCAAATCCTAAAGCCTTAAACCCTAAACTCTAAAATCCTAAAGCCTCAACCCCTAACCCCTAAAATCCTAAAGCCCTAAACCAGGAAATCACGAGAAGCCTACTGGGGGTTGAGGCTGTTGTTAGCCGATTGTGGCGGCCGAGCGCTTCGGAGATTCCAGGTACCCAGAGACTCCAAAACCCCCGTAATTAAGGAATATACCGTAAATTATGATAGGAACACTAACAAGATTTAAGGTATATTCCTTAATTAAAGGGGGTTTTGGAGTCTCTGGGTAAGTCCTGGACGGCTTGGGGCTTGAGGTTTGGGGTTTAGGGTCTGGGGTTTATAGGGTTCCGGAAACAACCAGGATCTCTTTTAGGTGGGTTGAGAGTTTAGGGTTAACCAAGGTAAAGTATTTGTGGGCTTTTCGGGTCTAGCGGCTAGCGGACAGGGTCTATGAAGCAACAACCAGCACACACACAATTCTAACGCGCGAAATTTGCTAAAATCCTGGACTCCAACAACCTAAACCATAAACCTAAACCCTAAACCCTGAACCCTAAACCCTAAACCCTAAACACTAAAACCCTAAACCCCAAACCCCAAACCCCCGAAACCTAAACCCTTACAAACTCTAAACTCTGAGTCGCAGTCCTCGACAGGCCCTTATTCAGCGCCACCTCCTGGGGCACCCAGAGACTCCAAAACCCCTCAAGTAAGGAATATACCTTAAATCTTATTAAATTAGGGTTCCTATTTTAATTTAAGGTATATTCCTTAATTAAGGAATGTACCGTAAATCTTATTAGGGTTCCTATTAGAACTTAAGGTATATTCCTTAATTAGGGGTTTTGGAGTCTCTGGTCAGTTGTGTCTCCGGGTCTCCAGCTTGAAGCTCGCAGCTTCCAAGCCGCTTTGGGTCGAGCACTCTTTGTGGGCTTGAAGGTTTAGGTTTTTTAAGTGCAATGGAAGGTTTAGGAGTTTAGGGTCTGGGGTTGGGGGGTTTGGGGTTCAAGGAAGAGCTGTGACAGTAGAATGCGGCAACGAGCGTCAGCAGAGCATTGCGTGTACTACCCAAAGGCTCCATAGTAGTTCCTTTTTGGGTCTCATATTTGGGATCCAAGAAGGTAATCCCAAAAAGGAACTACCATGGAGCTTGTAGGTACAGTTGCAATTGCCAGATGCTGCATACACTGCACCTTGAAAAGGCGCGTCTCAAGCATGCAGAAACAGGGCAAGTGGGTTTGGGGTTCGGGCTTTAGCAAAGCACCAGCGCTTGGGTTTGAAGTTTCTTGCTGTTGCTAAGAGTGCACGGCTTCCGGTTTTTCCAAGGTTTGGGGTTGGGGATTAAGGGCTTTAGGGTTTAGATGGAGTTAGGGTTTCGGGCTTGAGGCTAAAGCGGGAGTTCGACAGCTACTGCACGTGAAGAGCTACCCAGAGACTCCAAAACCCCTTGATTAAGGAATATACCTTAAATTATGATAGGAACACTAATAAGATTTAAGGTATATTCCTTAATTAAGGGGGTTTTGGATTCTCTGGGTACATCTTGCACCGCGTCGGGTGCAAAACAACCTTTGTCTCTGACGTAACACCCTAAACCCTAAACCCTAAACCCCTAAACCCCTAAATGTGGAGACCTACCTCAGGTCTAAAGTGTTTCCGGTGTCTATCTGCCATCGGCGGATCAAAGCATATTACATATGCAGGCTATGTGTAAAATCGCATGCAGCATGCCCTTTACTTCGCTTCTTCTTCAAACTCATGCGGCGTACGGTCGAACCCTGTCAAGCTAATAACATCCAACTTGGAAACTCCTATGACTTCGCTGATAAGTTTGATACTGCGGATTAAACCCTGACTACATAAAGACTATAGAGCTGCTGAAAGCCTAAACCCTGTACCAGCTAACCCTCCTCAAAGCCCCGACATCCTAGCATGTCTAGACCTCAATCCAAACCCCTGAAACCTAAAGTCTTTGGCCCCAAATCCCAGATAAACCCTCAACCCTAAACCTATAAACCCTAAACCTACAAATCCTAAACCCTAAACCCCTAAGCCCTATACACCCTACACCCTAAGCCCTTTAGGGGCCTATGAAGCCTTAAGCCTAAAACCCTAAACCCCTAAGCCCTATAAACCCTAGGCCCTATATAAGCCCTGACAGCTCCTGACTGTTCGGCCCGCCGACGAAGCTGAGCCCGACGCTGAAACTCAGCGGCCCGAAGCACTTGAAGGCATTAGGGTCCCTTTTGGGGCCTTAAAGGGATCTAGGGTTTAGGGTTTAGGGTTTCTCACATTAGGGTCCCTTTGGGGCCTTAAAGGGATCTAGGGTTTAGGGCTTAGGGTTTATAGAGCTCCTTAGAGGGATCCTTAAGGGTTTTTCTTGGGTTTCTATAAGTAGGGTACTACAAGGGTTCTACAGGGGTAGTTCTCTAAAATATGGTCCCTTTCTGGGGTCCTTCTTATAAGGATGCCGTACTATATTGGGGACATAAGAAGGGACCCTAACTTAGAGTACTACCCATACATGTGTGTCCAGGATTTAGGGTTGAGGGTCTAGGGCCTTCATGCAGGGTCTACAACACAAATCCATCTGATCGCTTATTCACCTCTCTATCCATCCTTGCATACACATTTCTATGTCTGAACCACTATGCTGTGGTTTGTTCTGTCTTACACTGCATGGCTCGGAGGACTCGGTTTTCTCCGGCTTCAGGCGTTCCCTTCGCCGCGCAGTGTGCGCTGTTTGTTCAAGGAGCGAGATCTTGCTTGAAACCCACAGGTATTCAACTCCATCAAGGTCCCTATGAAGACTCCTTAAGGGCTCTCTGTAAGAAGGGTTCCGACAATTAAGGGACAATAGGAGGGACCCCTAGAAGGGACCCCTAATCCTAATACCCTATATAACCCTTATATACCCCTTATATAGTCTCATAGAGCCCCTATATAACCCCAAGGGTCCCTTTAAGGGTCTCTCCTTTAATCCCTCAGACAAAGGAGTCCTTCAGGGGAGCTCCAAGAAAAGCTACCGGTCGACGCTTTCGGGCTGAAGGTCTGGGCCTGGTAGAGATGAGGAAAAGCGGAATCTCGAAATCCCGGTGGCCTGGATATAGGGTTTAGGGTTTTAGGATTTGGGGATTTAGGGGTTTAGGATTTTGGGGGTTTAGGGTTTAGGGGTTAGGGTTTAGGCACCCATAGTCTCCGGTGTAGTTCCCCTTTCTGGTTAATTAGTTGCGGATTATAGGATCCTACTCATAAAGCTGGTCTACCACAACAAGGAGCTACAATGAAGACTAGAGCTCAAATGGCCTGGACATCTTCAACCTCCTGGATCTGGAAGGCACCCAAATTTATGAATCTATGTTGATGAGGTCAGGAGCCCTAAACCCGATGACCCCCATTGAGTTTAAGCGGGGTTGAGGTAGGGTTTTGTGTTTACCATGATGGTAGTAAATAAGGGCCCTCTGTGTTTCTGTGTACAGGCACATAGCGTCAAGCACAGCTAACAGCCCTGCAACTGCACAGGAAGGCACTCGCAGATAGCCCGTGCGGCTTTATGTTTTCAGACCCCTACGACTTTAAACTCGTACTACAACCTATAGAAGCCTCGCAACTTCCAATGAACCCCCTGTTCGATTATTCAAAACGGCCCTTACAAGCACCGAGAGAACCCTAATACAAACCCTTCGTTCTTGCTATAAGCACGCCTATCAAACAAAACCCTTATCGACGATAAAACCCACACTAAACCCTGCACAGTAGACCCTAAACCCACCCTAAACCCACCCTAAACCCTAAACCCTAAACCCTAAGACCCTAAACCCTAAACCCCCTATATCTTCCTGGATTCCCTATAAGCCCCTAAATATCAAAAGCCCCTCTCTTAGAAGCCGAACAGTCGGGAGCCCTGCTCGATCCGTCCGCCCACGGCACGCGCAGCCTGAGAGGCTTCCAGAAGAGGGTTCTTCAAAAAATAAGGTTCAGGGTTTGGGTTAGGGTTAGGGTTTAGGGTTCAGGGTTTGGGGTTTAGGGTTTAGGGTTTAGGGTTCAGGGTTTGGGTTTAGGGTTTATGGTTTAGGGTTTGGGGTTTAGGGTTAGGGTTTAGGGTTCAGGGTTTGGGTTAGGGTTCAGGGTTTGGGTTTTAGGGTTTAGGATTCAGGGTTTAGGATGGTTTAGGGTATAGGATAGAGGCGCGTACAGGGGCTTGCGAGCCTGTAGAAGGGCTATTTCGAGGCGGCCCCCAAAAAAGCATGTAAAAAGTCAGGATAGGGACATCCCATACACACCCCTTTCATGATGAAGCCCAGTAAGGTAGGGATATCCCTGTAAACATGCGTATGCTTATGAACTCTTGGGGTCCCTACAGTTCTGCTGTTCGTATAGGATTGGGCTCAGGGTTTAGGGTTGAGGGCTTGATGAAGGAGATTCGGGACATCATGAAGGGCTCTGTGATGGCTTTAGGATCCAGCAAGGGCTTACATGGGCGTCAAAAAGGGATGTCAACTTGCTTTTCTTTTTTTTCGGGCTTTTGTTTTTTGGAAGATGTATAAGTTACTTTAAGGGTTTCTTTGGGAAAAGTTACTTTAAAGGTTTCGTCGATAGGATAAGTTACTTTGAGGGTTTTTTTATAAGATAAGTTACTTTTTGAGGGTTGCTGGTTGCTACAGGGCTTTCTAAGGCTAAGTCCCCCAGTAGCCCCTTAATGATAAGGGTACCCTTTTCCCTTCTATTTGGTTTTAACAAGGGAACCCAAAAGAAAAAAGGGCAAAAGGGTACTACTGGGGAACCTAGAAGGAGACTCCCACGGCTCCGGACTTCGGGATTGAGGCTTTGTGGCACTTCTGTCGCTGAGGGCTGAGGGTGAGGATTTTGGGAGGCAGGGTCCAGAATTCTTGGGGTTTAGGGTTTAGGGGTTTAGGGGGGTTTAGGGTTTTTGGGTGTAGGGTTTAGGGCTTCGGGTGTAGGGTTTAGGGTTTAGGCATCAGGGAATCAGGGTGTGAGGCTTGGGGCTCGTGAGGGCTTTGGGGTTTAGGTAGTGCTTCCTGCGTATAAGGGGCCTAGGGGCCGAAGGCTCTGGATGTGCGGTTTCGTCCGGTATCCCGTGCTCGAAGCTTTCTCAGAGAGGAAGCCTGCGACAACTTAAGGAGGAGTGTTGCTTCGGCTGATGATATAAATCCTGCATTGCCCCTAACAAGGAATATACCATAATTCCCATAGTTTAGGGTCCCTAAGGTAATGCAGGATTTGTATCATCAGCAGTTAGATGACGAGCCTGGGCTGGGCTTCGGAGTAGAAAGCTGGGGGCGCGGTTGGAAGTCGTTGGGGTGACACGGCCGGGCGCTGCTCCCACATTTTGAGGAGTCTACCCATAGGCCCCTAAAGGGCTTAGGGTTTAGGGTTTAGGGTTCAGGGTTCAGGGAGATTTCTACCCATAGGCCCCTAAGTAGTTCCTGTTTGGGATTACCTTATAGGATTCTTAAACATAAACCCACCAAAAAGGAACTACTTCGGGGCCTATGGGTAGGATGCTGGGGCTCAGGGTCGAAGGCCTGTCGGCTGATCTGCAAAGACGAAGGTCCTAGGGGTCCATGTACCCCAATAGCATATACTTTGGCCCCAAAGTACCCATATAGGGACTACTTTAAGGCCAAAGTATATACTATGTAGGTACATGGACCCTTAGGGAGGTAAGCTCTCAAAGAGACCCCGATTCAAGGCTTTGGGTCTCAGGTTTGCCGGCAGAGGGCTGGGCGTTCAACACCTGTAGGTCCGGTTGCTTTGCTTCGCTCCCAACCTTATCCGGTCTAGGGTTTAGGGTTTAACTTCCCCTCATTTGCCACGGCCATTTCGCGGGCAGGGTGTGCCACGCTGAAACTTAATCCCTAAACCCGCAAAACGCAAGGAGTACCGACTGGGAGCCTGACCCCATTGGCTGCATGCACGAAAGCGGTCTCGGTGACCTGCAATCGATGTCTCTCGCCCCTCTTTGCAACTGATTCCCGGTGCTGACCATCTGCTTCACCAAACCTGCATACCTTCAGCCTATGCCCTCAGGGACAGGTGCTTGGCAATTCTCAACCCTACAGTCCACCTTGAAGCTTTGACATGTTGGTACCCCTACGTTTCAAAACCGGGCAAAGCATCGCGTCGTCAGCCCAAGAGGCACGATCCAACACCGCATCTGAGAGTGGACAAGCAGAATACCGTGTTCTACTCAAGTAGCCCCTACTACATAGCCTTCGGCTAGGCACAATCTGAAACCAGCACAGCAGATTAGATTGGGGCCCCTCGCAAGCAATTGCTGCCATCTACAAAAGACCTTCCAGGCTGAACGGCTACAAGACTATGAGCTTATTATACTCTCATATCGATACTTAATATCATCAGAGAGCCTTAAAACCACGAGGTCTGCTTTCGGAAGGCTGTGTCGTAGTTCAATGCATGGGGCTAGGCTGTGCATCAGACTGCTCAGTACTTGGCCATTGTCCGATCTTCCAGGACTTCACCGCAGTTGCCGCAGACCTTAGCAGCTTCGGGTTGCTCTTGCGCCGAACTTAGCATGATCGACACCTAGACTCTACCCATAGGCCCCTAAGTAGTTCCTTTTTGGGATTACCTTATAGGATTCTAAACATAGACCCACAAAAAGGAACTACTTAGGGGCCTGTGGGTAAAGATTATACAAGGACTTATAAAAGGGAATCAGAATAAGGAACCCTAGCAAGGTGAGTTCTTTAGGGCCCAGGTAAAGGCTCAAGGGTGGCCTCTTCAGGCTTTGGGGCCTAGGATCTTGAAACAGTGAAGACAGACGGTTTAGGGTTTAGGGTTCAGGGTTTAGGGTTTAGGGTTTAAGGTTTAGGGTTCAGGGTTTTATTTGGGCTATGAGCCGCACCCAAGGATGTACGACAACGACTTGCGCTGGAGTTCAGTTTGGACCCGAGAACAAGAAGCACATACAGGATTTGCTTCAAGGTTCTGAGATTTTGAAGAGGAGCCATGTACACGGAAGGGTCCACCCTACTATTTTAGCAAACCTAAAGCCTTTAATCTAGAGACACAGAGCCCAAACCCCAAACACTCCTTGGTTCGAGATCTAGAAACTACCTCGTCTCTGGGTTTAGGGTTTAGGGTTTAGGGTTAGGGTTCAACCGTACTGAAGAACTTTTGCAGAATTTCGAGAAGCCGGCATAAGTCCAAGCCACGAATGGTTCGTACTTGTACAAGGAACAGCATGGCACAATGGCACAAACCCCGAAGTTACAAACTTGCCACATAAATGCCCTAAACCCTAACCCTAAACCCCAAAACCCTAACTTGCCACATAAATGCCCTAAACCCTAAACCCCAAAACCCTAACTTGCCACCTAAATGCCCTCGAATGTCATTGGTTCAACTCTGGGCCCCAAACTGTGTCACCACGCGCGACACTGTAGATGACATCCTGGCCACATTGCAGTCTTTCAGGCTTTCGGCATCAAGGGCTACTAGTACTGAAGAAGCCTTGAAATTGGTGGGTTTAGGGTCAGGGCTTAGGGAGTTTAGGGTTTAGGGGCTTAGGGTTTAGCAGGGCTATAGGGATTTTCGATGCTGGCTGTGTTGCGAGAAGTTTGTGCGAAAAACGGCGATCTGCGTCCTGAAACTGTTCCAGCCAGTTGAGTGCTTGGTGTGCCCATGCTCTCTAATGTAGTTCCCTTTCTTTGGCTGTGTGGTTGCTTGATTATGCGATTCCGGCCTAAACTCAAAAGCCTTTTCTCGAAGCCCTTTCCCGTCATCACAAACACAGTGCAGGAACTGCGGTGCAGCAGCATAGCTGATGGATTCGGGCATTAACTGGAGGAAGCCAGAGGGCTCATTTTGGGGGGCGTCCATAATGGGTCTAAGGGTTTATGGGGTCGGGGGATTGGAAGGGGATACTACTACGAGTTATTCCGATCTTTCTGCTACGAGATTGCCTTGGATATGCCTGCCCGCCCACTTTGCAGATAAACGGAAAAGACCCCGGCTGCCCTCAAAGTGACATGTGTAGCTTCACTTCTCTTGACTCGCTCCCCAGAGACTCCAAAACCCCTTAATTAAGGAGTATACCTTAAATCTTATTAGAGTTCCTATTATAATTTAAGGTATATTCCTTAATTAAGGGGTTTCGGAGTCTCTCGGCAGAATACGATATTGCTCTACTTTCAGGCGTGAGGCACGAGTAGTATGTAGGAGTTTACGATTGACGTTGACGTAGCTCAAAGGCAGCATCCCCAGAGACTCCAAACCCCCTTAATTAAGAAATATACCTTAAACTAAAATAGGAACTCGAATAAGATTTAAGGTACATTCCTTAATTGAGGGGTTTTGGAGTCTCTGGGTCCCGTCAATCGGTGGGCCGTGCGCCCTGGCAGCGAAGACCGAACCAGACGAAGGCTTGCTCTATATGATTCATATGGGTAGTTCTCTAAATTATGGTCCCTTTTAGTGTCCTTTTTATAAGGGTGCCGAACTATATCGGGGACCTAAGGGGACCCTAGTTTAGGGAGCTACCCAGATGATTATCACTGGATTGTGAGCATAGGTAGCAGGTAGTATTCCTACTATCATGACTGTTAGTACTGGCTATCAACCCCAACCTCAGAACAATCAACCCCAAGCCCGCAGACCTATTCCGGTGACATTGCCGACCCTCTACTTTGAACACTTCACTTGCAAAAACCTTCATTTAACAACTAGTGCTAAAGCAACCTCAACAGTGGGTGGACGCAATCATTAACCATCTATGGTGTCACCCAGTACTACCTAAACATCAGGTTACTAACCGTCTAGCAGTATCATCCAGTAGCCTTTTATTAGGCAGCTGGAGCCATAGAACAAACAAAAATCAAAACAGCTCTTAGATCCGAAGCTCTTGGTCCACAAAGCCTTCACATCGTCAAAGGTAGAAAAAAAGGAATCCTGCCCGCAAAGGACCCCACCGCCCAAAACAACTTTGAAACACCGACTTCTTGAGCCCACTTTATTATGCCCAGAGAACCCAATAACCCTTAATTAGGGAATTTAGCTTGAATTATAGGGGCCTTAATAATATGATCCAAGTAAGGTATATCCCTTAATTATGGGGTATTGGGTTGTCTGGGTGGTCTCGTGAGTCGTGAACTCTTAGTCTTCCAGCCCTCAGCTCGCCAAGCCAAGAACAACTAGGGTTTATGTGGGTAGTTTTCCCTTTTTGGGGGGTCCTTCTTTTTACGAGGGTGCCGTACCATGTTGGGGACCCAAAAAGGGCCCCTACTTTAGAGAACTACCCATGTGCCCCTGAACCTCGCCTTCAACTTCCTAAGCGTGCCAGGGCCCCGACATAAGAGCCGCACTGTCGGCACTGCATGGCTGCGACTGCGAATCTCCGTGGGGAGGATGTCCCCAGGATCCTACTCTCGACGGGTTAGGGTTTAGGGTTTAGGGTTTAGGGTCTAGAGTTTAGGGTTTAGGGTTTAGGGCTTAGGGTTTAGGGGTTAGGGTGGGGCGTTGGGTCTGGCTTCTCAGGTGTAGGGTTTGGGTTGGTGAGGTTTCAGGGTTTAGCTCGGCCCAGTGAGGGGCGGTGGGACTAGTAGGACTCAGCTTTTACTACACAAGCCCCCCAGGCCGTCAGAGGTGCAGGAGACAGGCTACATGGCGGCCCCTTTAAAGCCTCTATGTATTAGTAAATAGGGTCCTCTTAAGCCCAATAAGGGAAAATATAAAATATCCCAAAGGCCTACCTAGATTTGTGTCTTAGCCTTCGACCTTGGGTTGCGTATCAGGCATCCGAGGGCAGGAAGCTCGTGATCAAGGTCCTCTCCACATTAACGCCCATACTTGCCCATGAACATGTTGAGATATGGGGTTACGGATTTCGGGCTTTGTGTAGCAGGCTTTCCTTCGCTCATACCCATGAACGACCAGCTGAGCCATAGACAAGACGGCCGTCTCCAATGGCGGAATACAACGCATGGTACATTGAGTTTACAACACAAGAAAGAGCAGATCATCTTCTGCCACACCCGTCAGAAAACCCGAAACAGGCATCTAGACAAATCCAAATCCCATCCCTGCTCGTCGGACTTCTCAGGCTGAGGTTACATGTCGACGTCATCGGCTCCCGGATTCCGGGGAGTTGGGCCAGTTCTTCGGATTCAGGATTTTGGTTCTTGATCTGAGGAAGCCTTGGATGAAGGGCTTACGGGCTTCTGACGAAAGGATGCGGAGACTGAATTTCAGGCACGTAGTGCTGTTGTGCGTGCGACAGGCTAATAGAGTGCGAGGAGTGTGGGAGCTAAGGAATACACGTGCTTTCCTGGTGTTACAACATGTCAGGGCTTGGACGAGTTTCATATTGCAGGGCTTCGATCCTGTTGAATTTAGGGCTCAGCACCACAATCACATGAACATCAGTGCGATTCGGCCGAGACCAAGAATGCTCCTGAACGCCTGTAGCAGCTTTAGCTTGAAGGCTGTCGAAATTGCCGAACCTCTGCAGATACCACCCGTTATGATTCCATCTTACAGGTCTCACCGAATACCGACACTCTAGGGTTCACTAACCCACGAAACAGAGAGTCGACATCCGCAGATTCCGAACCCTAAATCAAATATTCCACCAACCCTAAACCCTAAACCCTAAGCCCCTAAGCCCCTAAACCCCTAAACCCCAAAACCCCAAAACCCTAAACCCTACACCCTAAACCGACTCCAAAACCCTCCGTTCCCAAGGTCCAGAGACCATGGGTTTGCTCTCAGCACCTCTTCTGCACAAAGAGATAGCTCGGTGTGAAAAATTCCGCAAGCTGCCATCGGGTTCCATCCGTCAACCAGGCTCGTAGTCACATTGGCTTTGAGCCGGATCCTAAACTTACTAAATCAGTCCCCTGATCTGCCGACGGTTTTTATCCATTTTGCGTTGGTGTCCCGCGTCAACAACCCTGTTAAACCTGAGACCCTACACCGCTTTGCTCGAAACTCCGGGAGAAGATACAAAGTAATCGGGAGCCAGTCCAGCTATTTCATTGCCACCCCTGTGGACCAGTGGTTTCAGACATACATACATACATACATACATACATACATACATACATACATACATACTCAGAAAACGACCCCTACTCTTGACCGACAGGATGCTTTCCCTCAGGCCGCCGCACGTGTGGGAACACGCGGGAAGGGCAACTCTGGATGAAGACTGCGGCGATTTGGGCACTTCAGGTGGTATTTCTGGGTTTAGGGATTGGGGCATTGAGGGTTTTGGATTTAGGGCTTGGGGCAATGAGGGTTCTTGGGGATTTAAGGTTGTAGGATTTGGGGGCTTGGAGTTTGTGCGGTGAAACCTGACTACCTACTGGGTAATAATCTTCTCCGCTAACAGCTGTCATACGAATGGAGAAGACCACGGGCATAACCTTATACATGACTGTCAATCTGCCAGAAAGAGGTACAGCAGGAGCCGTATAGGTAACGAAGGACGCAGGATTCACATGATCGACGTTCTCAAGTTGCTGTCCTGTTGAGATCGCCTGCAACCTCCAACTTGTGCCCTTCCTCGAGCTCGGACGAGGTGCCGATGCCCCATGCCAAAGCCCAGTTTGAGGGTTCATGGCTTCAGGGCTAAAGGACTTCCAGTTCAGTTTTATCTCGGCTGAATGGTACGTCATAGTTAGAATAGGGCCTGTAGGGTTTTGAGGGTAACTCTATAAGGAAAATAGTTGAGGGCTTCCCCGAAAGCTGCGACTGTTGAGCAGCCAGTGAATGTCTTCTGGAAGATTCGCTGGCCTAGCTTGGATAAAAGAATTCTAGCTGCCCAGGGTCCTTGCAGGGCAGGCACCTCGAAGTAGACCGAAAAGGTCAATTCCCGTCTGATGACATTCTTTGACTTATGCCGGCTGTCCAAGCCTCGTGCTTGGACGGGATTGGCGGCTTATGGCCATAGGGTTCCTCGCAAGGGTTCGGGGGGGAGATTGAGGTTTAGCCTCTTGGGGAGCTTCTGCGAAATGCCGAGCAGTCTAACCATACCCTAAACCCTAAACCCTAAACCCTGTTCAGGGTCTAGGTTGCAAAGCTTCGATTCTTTTAAGCTTCCGGGGTCTCAGAGGTGATTGCCCGGGGTTTACAGACGTCAGCATGAAGAATGCAAAGTTCAGCGTCGCCCAGAAAACAACCACACGGTACCCTATAAGCCCTAGTTAAACCATCGACACCGAAACACTTCAAACCCTGCAAAGCTCGAAACTCAAACCCTAAAGCCTAAAACCTTTGTAAATTATGAACCCTATAAACCTCGAAACCCTTTATACACCCAATAAGCCCCAAAACCCTACGCCCAAGACTGAATACCGAACACTTCAACGACTCCACTGCAAGTCCCCCGATCCTCCTGAGGTGTCGGGCTTAGGATTGAAGGCTTCCGGGGTATACGGTTGATGATATAAATCC